CTCGCTCTCTCGCTCTCTCTCCCTCGCTCTCGGATTCGCCTGTCCCGTAGAAATCCCATTTACACGGACGTCCGCTCGTTTCCACTGATTAGTTGCTAAACAATTAGCGTGACGGGAGCGCACCGAGCGATCGCGACCTGGATCATAAAGGGAGGAAAAAAAAAAAAAGGAGCGCTGTCTCGTTCGGTGAGATCCCAGAGCGGTGGAGCGATACGCCGAAAACAGATTTCAAAGGGTATCGAGAGCGGGCTTAATTGCCGTCGCAATCGTCGATAATTGTATATCCATCGGTTTCCCTAACGAGAAAATGAACTAATAGGGGTAGAAACGAATAACGGTCTCGCCCTCCAACCCCCTGGCCATCCTGCCCCAGTCGTTATCGCGCGAAGTTAGATTGGTTTCGCGAAAAACTAACGACTCGGCGCGTGATCCTCTTTTTACGTATGTAGAACGAGTCTTCGCCTTTGACGTCGCGTCGTCCCGTCGGCGTAATTGAATGGATTCCGTTCCACGGAACTGATAAACGTTTCGATCCAGGTCGCCGAGCGAAAAAAATGCAAGAGCAGCGGGGGATGGTCGTTAGCGCCCCGTTTTCGCCACGTCCACGCCCTTACGGCGTCTAGCCATCGTTCCAACTAATCCGGCAGCGTCCCAAGTTAACTTCTATCGACTGATTGGCAGTCCGCGAACGGTTTATTGCGCCCCGGTCGACGATTTCGAGAATAAGCCATCACGAACAGCGAAACGCTAGGCGTCTCGACGGCCTGCGCCGGCACAGGTCAAGTTTCGCGCGTGCCTTCGCCGGGAAAAATATCGGCCTGGAAACGGTGAGTTATATCCCCGTAAGGTATCATTCAGCGGTAAGAGATGGCACGGTAGCTATCCGATTCCGTTATCTCGGCGCCGTATACCCTCCTAGCCGTGGATTCCGTGGCGAAATAACAGTCCGGAGGAATAACGTATTCCGTCGGTCGGGTCTTTCAGCGTCCTCCTAGGTATGCTCGAACACGTCCGTCTTCATTCGCCTTTCACCGACCAACCCTTTCTTCTTTTCTCCTCTGGCCGCGAAAGACGAAGGCCGGGCAAGAAGGGAACAATGCGACGCGACATTGGGTGCGGGCGAAAAACGGAACGGACTCTGCTCGCATATGTACCGTCCTACGTATGCGCGCCCTTAAAAAATTCAAACGACGTTCATTGTCCCGCGGTTTTACGAGTCGGACGGCGATGGAGGAATTAATAATTACTCCCACCCTGCGCGCCGCCGCGCCAGAAACTCATAGCTTTGCCAGGAAAAAAAAGGGAGTAGATTGAAATCGCCGTCGCGATCGTACGGAGATAAGTCGCGCGTGTATACGCCGGAATGGAAAATGATACCGCGCGACGAAATAGAGAACCGTGGCTGAACCCGAACAACTAGCCACGAACGAGAAGGAAATTTATCGGCGATGGGCGAGATCGATGAGACCGAAAAGGCTCCCGTGCGATATATATCCCCGTAGGTACACACGTGTGAGTCAGCTATTAATACCCACAAATTATAAATAATGTCGCTGCCGCGACCACAAATCAGCGTTTGCCGTAATACCGGCGGAGGGGCTTTCGACTGGTCGGAGGATTAAGCGCTTTTCGAGAGACACCTACCTGCTGCCGCGGTGAGAAGATGAAGGGGGCAGAGGGAGAGAGAGAGAGAGAGAGATACCCAGTCGATTCTGCGTCCAGCTACGACCGAAAACTAAAACCCGGGGGAGTGGGTCGTGGTGCATTAAACTCCATTCGAAGCAATGCACAGCTTCGCGCGAAATCTTCCCCCGATGTTATCGAAACTATCCCGGGTAATATCGATATCCTAGATCTTGACGAAACATCGAAGACAAAAAGACCGGAACCGCTTTCCCTTCGCCCATCTTTCCTTATCGATATCGCGCGCTGCTTCGACGAAAACGCGTGGAAAAGCGTGGATGAAAGTTCTCCGGGGGGGAAGGACGATAAGCCTTATCTCTGGATATTGCCTCTTTACGCCTGGATAATCCAATGCCGTTGAAACGTTCTAGCAACGTGATAATGACTTTCGTCGGCGAAATTAACTTTGCAGATTCGCGTCAAACGTTCATACGTTTAATTAGAATATCGCGCACCGCTTCGGGTGTACGATAAACTCCTTTTGCTTGCATACAGTCCGAAGATAAACGTCATTGTCGAATCGCATCTAATTACTCGGCGAGAATACCCGCAACATAGTTAACCATAGAATCGAACGAGCGTGTTTGTCTTTCATCGTTCTCCAATTAAGACCAACCTCCGCTTCTTCCTCCTCTTCTCCTCCTGTTTCGCGTCGTAATAAAAGATTTGCCAAACAACGAAGTCGCTATTGTCCTAGCCGGGCGATTTACATAGCCGTAAAAGAGAAGGAGCAATTCGCAGGCGAACGAGTGGCAAACCGGACGTTTTCGAGTTTACACGACCGTGTCGGCGGACTTTCGCGTAATTGCGCATCAATGTCCTAAGGGGACGTCTGCGCGGGACCAATAAGTGGCGAGAGGGAGCAGAGTGGTGCGGAAGGGAAGAAACGGGAGCATGAAATAGCCGGGAAGATGCCGTGGCACGATAACGGATGCCTCGCGTCGCGGATCTTGTCTCGTTGTCTTCGGGCAGCGACGCGGTGCGCCGGGATCGGCCATCGCGGCCCTCCGAGAAGCGAGAAGAAGCGAGGAGAGCACCGTCAAACAGATTGAAATCAACGGGAAGCGACTTCTATTTTCTCCTCTGCACTGTACCGCAGCCAGATCTGAAATGAAAATCTGTGGCCCCGCGAGCGAGCAACCGCAAGATAATTCAGAAAGAAGGGAAGAAAGAGGGAAGATGGACTCTCGCCGCGTCCGCGTATACGCTGTTTCACCGAACGCGAACGCGAATGTTGCGCTGATTAAAATGTCCGTCTATAACGTGACCGAATTACGAATTTCATTTTCGAATACGTACACGTTCCCGAGCACGTCAGCTCCCGTGCCGTTAGAACAGCTTTCAATTTGCAAGCTGCAAACATTTCGATATTCAATTAACGATTTTATATTACAACCGGCTTCGTTATTTTCAAAATAGATATTACGTTTAATAATTGTAACTGGAGCGTAACCCAAACCGCTGTTTATTGCTTCAAGCTACGCGGCCGGGGCTCGAGCAAAAGTCCGTGTATCATCTTTCATGGACGAAATAAAACGATGAAACGAAAAATAAAAAGAAAAAAACAAAAAAAAAAAAACAAAAAGAAACAAAAGCGGGAGCGCGAGGGAGGGAGGAGGGGAGGGGGACTGGCTAAAAAATACAAAGAGAGCGGGAGAAAGAGAGCGAAAGCGAAAAAAAAGAACTTTCCGGTTATCAGATAGAATTCTAGCGTGGCAAAAAATACGAGAGAAAAGAGGGCTTTAGCTTGCGCGAATCTGCTCGGTAAGCGTTTTTTCCCTAACTCCGACACAGAGAGTCGGCTGGGCGAGAGAGAGAGAGGGGGGGGGAGAGAGAGAGAGAGAGAGAGAGAGCGAAGGTGAGAGCGAGTGGAAGCGAGAAAAAAGGAGAGACCGGGACAGGAAGCTGTGGTAGAGTTTCCAGTTATGGAGAAAAATTTTATATAATCCGGAGTCAGTTCGGAGACAGAAATTTCGAAAAATCTCGGCGCAACTTGGAAAGTCTCGTGCACTTACGACCGGTAAATCGTTTTCCACCCTTCGAGATCCGCGAACTTACAAGTTTCGTTCCTTTCTCGACGAAACACGCTGCTAGTCGTGTGCCTCCTTTTTTCCGTCCCCCCTCGCCCCCCTCGACCTCCGTACTACCTCCTCATCTATGTTCAACTTTCATTTCCCAACCCGTACAAACTTTCGATTAAATTTTCAGAGAGGAACGCGCGAGACCAACGCTCGCCTAGGTGGCTCGAGTAATTTCAACCAAACGTCTCGATCCTTTGACGCGACTCGTTCCGGCAAATGTATCCCTGCATATTCAAATTCGCAATTCGCCATGCATTCCAGCCGAATCGACGTTCAGATGGCCAGACGGTGGCTACTACCGACGCACAATCGAGGACATAATACACCCGCCTTGCCTCAGCCGCGAAGCAAGACGTGCGCTTAATCCGCGTTTGACGCTCGCTAGCCTGTTGGCTGGCTACAGACGAGCGTGCGATATTGCGCCAAACCAAGCAATTACTGTCGGTAATCTCGCTAATAGAATTCCAATATGCGTGCCAATTGAACCGAGCCACCGTATGGCCGTACGGGCGTGAATCTGCAGATTGTGCGCGCACGACGAAAGCCGTGACACGATTCAGCCATTAACTATGCCCTGAGTTTACTCGACGAGCGTTCTTTGTGCATATGCAGCTAGAGCGCGCTAACCGTAACACGAAACTCCACGTTTCGTCTGAATACAAAGAGCCACGAAAGTCGTAGAGGAAATGTAAACTCTACGTTACCCTATCTTTCTCCGGTTTCCACACTATATCACACGCGAATTGTCCCGACGTTATATACCAAACATGTTTATACGCATAAATATGTACTTAGTATGCTCTCTTGTCATACGGTTCAATCCGAAGAGTTCCTACGCGTGGGTTGCCCTTATGCGTAGCACGATATAGCGTAGACTCGTTCGATCTAATTTATTACGACGTAATTATCGTACGGTTCGATCTCAAGAGTTCCTACGCGTCGGTTACCCTTATGCGTAGTACGATATAGCGCAGACTCGTTCGATCTAATTTATTGCGACGTAAAAAAAAGATATCGACGAGATACGCGATTACACGCCAATTACAAGTTACATTATCCGAGAAACGTGGCATAAGCAGTAGGAAATGAACATAACGTAAAATTTGCGACAAATGTACGGTGGCAATCGTATCAAGAAAGTAACGTAATATACGAGGGACTCGAATGGGGAGGTCGCCTCGTTAATTGGACTTGGTACTCTGATGCCACCGTGCGAATTGTTCGCCACGAAATTACCTCGATATCTCCTCGTTGTCGTCGTTTTGTACAGATGCAACGGCGTTATCTGGGATATACACGAATTTTCTTCGAAATTGTTACACTTCACCGGCACGATTAAACCGTTAACGCGACACACTACGTTCGACAAATCAGCAACCGGATCTAACGAATCTGATTAGCGCGCGCTAATTTAAAACTAAAAAGATCAACGTAGTCCTCGTTCCAGAAGAAATTTGAAGCGTTACCATCGAATGTTGCGTGTTTCGAACATATTATCGATCTTATCGGACTGTGAAATAAATTTCACGCCAATTCAGTGGCCGATTACGTTTAATTGTATCCAATTAAATCGTCGCGAACACGGAAGACTCATTATGATTTATTGAACCAGTGGTAACGATCCTTCTCGCTTTTGTGATCGATGTGAAGCACGCGCAGTCAATAGAGTTTTGTGAAATAATTTTATCCAAGACTTCACGATTCGATAAAGCTTTCTTCAGGTACGAATTATTGAAACTTATAGCATATCTTAACGATAATGAGGTTAATCTTTACAGATATATACATTATAACACACGTACAAAACATCAAGCTTGTTAATCACCAGAAAATAGTCATTAATGTAAGCACAAAGACAAGCACTTAATAAAACTTGTTACATATTCTTTGTTATTTAATCACTAAAAAATTTGTCATACGATAAAAAGCTAATACATTTTTATTTAATTTGAAATTACACGAATACACCTTGTCCAACTTGAATACGTTCCTAAGAAATGTCAATAAGTGTTTATAAACGGTTCTTCAATTTCACCACATACTTATAAAAGCGTAGGCATTTCATTGACTAGTTGGTGGAGATTCACCATTGTCATATTGATTTTTATTCCTTAGTAAATATCCGGCTAGAAAGCTAATGGGGTCAGCTGGTCTTTCCTTGGCTAAACTGGAGAGGGCTTGTAACAATATTGGAACTACGGTCTGATCCAAGTACTGCCTCGTTGGAAGAGATTGTACTTCGACACGTGACTTCTTTGGTGGCACACCGGACAAATCAGAATCCTTATTCATTGCTAGTATCCTCTGCAACAGTAAAAAGTAGTACGACGGGTTAAGGTAAGTGGTCATTCCATTTTCACAAGTATATCTAAAATTATCTGCTTCACTGTTATTTTGCTTATATGTACTTTATGAACCGTACAAAATGACAATTATGAAATGCAGCAAATATTTAGGAGTGAAATGAAATTGCGATGAACTATGCAAATCTAGATGTCTGAGCAACCTAACCCAATAACATTGGTACAAAAACAAAGTAAAATTTTGATATAACAGCTGTCATTAGTTTGGCGGGAAATATCAAAATTATTTCAAGCGAATAATTCGTTATAAATTTCGACACGTATAATCAATGTCAGGTTAGAAGATAGCTCGTTAGATAACGATATCTTAGGAATGTCAGTGATATGAATCAATCGTTAAGAAATAATAGGACAACAGGTTACGCCTACGTTTATAGGTTAACTGACTTACGTGCGCTGTTTCGCTCACAACATTGGTGAGGGGTTGTGCCGGCGTCGCTGGCTCAGTCCTTTCCTCCGCCGTGTTTTCTGCTGTTACGAGAACAACACGTTGATCGACATTATTATTACCACAAATTCACGTCCGAAACGTATCGCCTAGCGCTTCCTATTAAATGATAAAAAGCAAAATAAACGGTACGTACCACCGCCAGACGCCATCGTGTGAACAAATGATGTTACCAACTATTACAAGTTATCACTGCACAAACACGATTCAAATGTTACCATATCGTATAAACATTCGAAATTCAACGCGCATTTTGAAAATCTCGTGAAACATTTGAAATTGCGAATGAACGTGGTATTGCTTTCGTAGTGTGACGGAATATATTTTAATGAACCTTTAAATTAGCAGAAATACGATATAGCGACTATTTTGTCGTTGTATTTAACGAGAAAATAATCCTCTATTCATCGACACAGCGACTAGTAGATAAATGTTTAGGAATTTGAAACCATAAACGAGTAATTGTTTTTTTTTTTTTTTTTTGTTTTTATTTATTTAACGTAAAGTTAGACGCTACGACTTTGGTACAAAAACATAAAATAGTGGTACTGAGGAAACGGTGTATTGCGAGCGGATCCTCGAGTCCCTACGAACGCGGAGAAATACGAGTATCGTTGTATGAGAATCCGAACTTACAGCCAATTTAAAGGCGAGCACTGAGCGCAACACAGGGTACTAATTACGAAATGTCCCGAGTCTGCTTGCAACCGAAAAAGAAAACGATACGCGCCCCGCCGAAGGAGAAGCTCGAAGAACCGCCTCGTTGTTGCACGAAAACGAACATCCAATATTTCCAATGAACAAAGCATAATATATATGTATAACGCGGACGGCGGCACCGACCGTTTCACAGCATCATCAAAAGTAACGTTAAACCTTGCGAAGAGAAACGATACCAGATCGATCACACAAACTATAACGATAAACAAATGGTATTCCCAATCGGTTAATAGAAGAAAGAGCTATGCGACAATCCGCGGACATCACGTTTTTTTTCTTTTTTTTCCTTTTATTTTTCCTCGGTTTTCTTACTTAACATCGACGGTCACGTGCGCGTTCGACGCACGCGAGATCGATCGTGTACGGCTAATATCGAATAAGTTAAATATCTTTCGATTTCTCTTTCATCGCGTTAAGTTCCAAAGCTTCAAAGCGAAAAGCTCCGCGAGCGTTACGTGAGTAAAACGTGATATACATCGTAAAAGGTGACTTGAATATGGCTACATTAATGTGGTAGAGCGCGATCGTAACACATACACGAGACACGAGACTTTGCGCAGCCTTTAAAATCACATCGATGAGTAAAAGTGCGTCAGCGAGCGGAGTCGCAGCCAGCGATCGAAACGGAGGTTCGTGAAAAAGAATCGAGGGTTCGCGGCCGAAGTACCCCGGCAATACCTCATCGTCAACGACGAGACATTCTTCGACCGTGACCATGTTCGACTGGTGTACCACTCGTGCATCGCCTCGGCAAATAAATGCGACACCTAGACATACCTACTTACAACGTATGTATATGAACGTCAATGTATATATATATTTATATATTTATATATTTTTATATATCTAAATAGTGTTGTGATAAAAACGAGCTATGAGACACGCGCCGTAACTGTATCCTGGCGCCACATCGACGTATAGGATCGTATATCCGAACGAGCGGTGTTTCGTATTTCTTTTTTTCTTTTCTTTTTTTTCCTCTTTTTCTTCCATTTTTTTTCTTTTCCGTCTATCATTCTCGATTACCAATCGCGGTTATGGGTCCTGATTTTTGCGTTTGTTCAACTACACTCGACGCGTCGCCAGTCAACGAAAGAGTAACGGCGCACCTCGCGACCATCCGTCCGACTTATGTCCTACTTACGTTTAAATCGGTACTTGTTGCTCGAATTGCTTACACGTATAATATCATCGTCGCATGTATCGTTAAATTCACATACGTTCATAATTGATCGAGATTAGCTTGCGAATATATGTGTGTGTACAGCGGACTAAATATTATATAGGACGATTAAAAATCGACAGCGAGCGTGGTGTGTGCTTGCGCGTTCCCTTCTCTCCTTTAACGTATGGCGTGTGATGTAGTATTATTATGAATGTGGTCAGTTGATGTTCCTCGTTGAAATCGCGTTGTACGATCTAGCGTGCCGCGTTCTTCCTACGGATAAGTCGATCGGCAAATGAAATTTCGGTGAATTTTGTTGGTTCGACACGCGCGGCGGGAAAGGTTTCGTTTAGACGCCACCACGGCATCGGTGCGACCTGTTGTCTGACTACTGCTACGACGACGACAACGACGACGCACTCTCTGCGACACTGTCGCAAAACAGTGCTCTCTAGACTTGCTCTCCGCGACGTCGAGACTCAAGATCGTCGATCACCAAAAAGGGGGACACAACCTTCGTTACGAAATTATAAATTGTATATATATGTATAATATTATCATATATATGTATGTATGTATAATATCATATGCCTGCGGGGAGCGGCAGTGTGGCACAACCATGACTTAAAAAGCGAGTAACTAATGTATCTCGTGTGTACTTCCCGTGACTCGTGGCGCTTGGAAGCGACAATTGTAACCTAGGACATCCCGCCAAAACCCCCGTGAAATGCACCGTCGCCGAGAGCACGCGTCGCGGGCCGGATTCTAGCCGCGTTTTCAACGTCCACGAACATGCCGGGTGTGTTCGTCTTCTAACAGGACACTCGTTCACGACGGATCGACGGCGATATCGATCGTACGATAAATTACCGGGGACGACGCGGTATCTTACCCCCCGAATAAAAGTGATCCCTTCGCCTAGATCGGCAGTCAATCAATTTGGCAGTTTCGTAATCTGGCCTTGTCGAGAATTGAGCAAGAACGAGTGAGCTATACGAAAAAACGCGAGATCGAAATATAGAAAGGCCAAAATTGGGGAAAACGATATGGTCGGAGACGAAGAAGGTCGACGGTCCCTTCGAGAGGCAAAATGCTCCCGCCGTTGGTAACATGGTCGATTACTTAAGTGAACGTCTCAACGAGTGTACCGCCTAGTGCAATGGACCGAATCTATCTACTCGCGACGATGGTAATTCTTTTTTTGTTCTTTTTTCTTTTTTTCCTTTTCTCTTTTACTCGATAAATCGTTGCAATTTGGGCCGACGACAGCACCGGGGGAAGAGTTAGCGTGCGCATTCTTTCCGCTTCTCTCGAGTCTTCGGCCGCTGGCGACGAGAGAGACGGAAGACCACGGAAGATGATTTACAGGTTACACTGCCACAGTATCGTAGGGTGTGAGGTGTCCCCCGTGACCGCCGTGGCCGGCGCCGGCTTGCCGACTGGGGGCTTCGTTTCTGTAACAGGGAGTTTCATGTTTTCAATTCTCTTCCACGTACACTAGCGTTCCCTTTTGCATGAGCGACATACTAACGGTTTATCGCGTTTCCCTCGATAACTTCTATGCAGCTAAAGGACAGAAATGAAAACTATCTGCACGTAGCTCAGCGGTACATGCAATAGCTGCAATCGCGAGTATATTAATGACACACGAGTCGTATTTCATTAATAGGCACGATAATAAAGATATTTTATAGCGGTTGGTAAAGTTAGTAGCACCAGCAGCAATGGCAGCAGGATCTGTAGCAATGACAGGAGCGAGAGCTGTAGCGAAAATAAAGATCGGGGGGCATCGATCGTAATCGTATACCGTCGACGTGATCTAGTGAAAAAATTAGTGTTAACTACGATTATCACACTTGGCAAATTGTCATTAAAATCGCATGCAAACACATGTTGACATAGTAAGCGTTATTCGACCCAGGTAGAGATCTGATTGTCGTTGGTATGGAAGCGACGCTGTCCAAGCATTGACTGACCTATGTTCTCGTGGCCACAAAAACTAGCTAAGAACAAAGTTAACGCAACTTCTAAAGCTTTCCAAAAATCATTTCTAACGCGATTGTCGTTACGATAATGCATCCTGCGGTTTAATTATTATTATTATTGTCTAACGAACTTACGGCTTCCTGCGTAAAGAGTCATGAAACAAGAAAAAGTCAGAGATACGTTAAATAGATTGTCAAAAGGATTGTTCAGAGTTCTTAGCGGAACCACCGTGCACTCGATCGCCACTATCATTTTGGAATATCCAGAGAATCGATATTGATCCGAATCGAATCCGAAGGTACCAATGGTTTAGAGACAAATATATTTACGAGAGGGATAAGCAGGTCTAGCAAAGTATGTATTACCGAGAGTCGAGAAACGAATCACGTTCTTCCGAACAGCAAAAGTCGAAGCGACTAACGGAGAGTTTGGCCAATTTACTTTCGAGAAAGTCAATGACAGTTCTCGAGTCAAGAAATCGCTCGAGACACAGCGGCATGAACGGTGACGTTTCTTAATCGTACACCGTTAACCAAACTCACTCGATCTCTACTGACCTCTCTATGAGTTTACGCATCTCCTCGGTGGTCATGCCGTCCTTGCCGCGAGCATTCACTGAAATAGAAAAACACACGGCACGATTGACACAACGGTAAACTACTACGACGACACGTAGCATGCAAATCGTGGAAGCTAAACGATTAGATACACAGACTCCGCAGCGAGTCCCGGTTCATTCTTGTACGTCGTGACTCGCTCGGCATGCCTATATTTTCTACTACGTAAGAACGAGCAGTGATAGGAAACACAGAGGGAATACACGAAACGTGGTCACCCTGACTCGACTCGAGGAGGAACAACGCCTACGGCGTTGCCTTTCCCGATATCGAACCATTCTATATTATTTCGCTTCGCAATTCGGTCCTCTGGTCCCCTACTCGATCACGGTTCTTTGTACTGACCGCCGTAGTTGCGGTTCACGAGTTGGTCGCGGTCACACTCTGCCTCGCTGATCTCGTTGCTCTCTTTGCTGTCGTTGAAACTCGAGTTATTCTGGTCGTGGTTCCTTGGTGGTGGTGGGGGTGGTTCGGGTGATCCAGAGACGGGGATGTTGCGGGCCGATCCAACGCTGCGACGTCCAACAGAGCCACGGGATCCATAGTGATCGTAGGGAGCGCCGTATTGTCCGTATTGAGAGCCATACTGATCTTCTTCGGGAGCACAGTTTGCTGGGTCATCGTATTCGGGAGAGAAGACGTTGTGGGTTCCGCTGCCACCTCCTTGGGATGGTACTCGAGAGTAGCGACCGTTTTGACGTGGCTAGAGAGAGAGAGAGAGAGAGAGAGAGAGAGAAAAACGAATCGATCAAAATAGCGAACGCGATTGCCGAGGTCGTAATTAATTCCGAGAATCTCCCTAAACCATAATCGGATTAAACAGAGACGCGTCTAATACCATTGATTGAGATCCAGAGCGGCTGTGAGCAGAAGCGTTAGTAGGATGTCCAACAGGTGGTCCCATGGTGCCAGAGTGTCCATTGCCGGGGTGTGGGAAGGTCTGGAATTGCATAGCCTTGCTGGGGTCCATTTCTTCGCGGAATCCAAGAAGGTGGAAGGTGGCGTACGGGCAGATCTCATCCTCCATGCCTGAAAGAAACGATCACTCAGGGTAGACACTGCAGCTATAGACTTAGTTTAACTAATCTATTCATTGTACGAGATTATCTCTCGATAAATCAAGCGGATAATCCTTCGCAGGGTGTTGGTCTCGTGCAGCCATGACTATCGCTAAAATCATCGGGTACCTACGTATTGCATTCCTATGTTTCTCCTCTTCTCTGGTTCTTGCTTATTATCGAGAAACGTTTATAGGAAAAGTGTCATGCTCGTTAGTCGTGTGGATACAGTGCCCCTTTGCGTTCGTTCGATTCTCTTACCACGTAAGGGATATCGTAAACGGTCGCTTTGCCATCGAGACGTGTAAATTGCAACCTCAAAGGTGACGAAAGTCGAGCGAAGAAAGCTGGCCCTGTTCCGTTGTGAAAAGTGGAGAATGAATCGAAAGAGGTGTTTCCTATGAGTGCGTCGTGTTTTCATCTGTTTGCAAAACAAAAGGGTACCAGAGCGCAGACATGCGAGGTCGTGCAAACATTAAGATGATGGCGGTTGCATGAGCACGGTGTGAGAATTGGTGGAACTGAGAGGACTTACGAAGACCGACTGCAACCAGCCAGCAGCTGCACCGGCCATAGGTTAGTAATCGTAGTCTCGCGATAGACGAAGGCTCGTCACGGCGACACGAAGGAGAAAGAGCGCTTCGTTTGGGTCTTTAACTACTTTTACCAACCTCTGTGGGAGAGAGCCTCGGCACTGCCCATTCGAGGTGGCGGTGGACATCTTCGGTTCGGTGCGCAATGATTCAATTCTTCGTACATATGTCGTCTGGGATCCCACGTCGAGTGACTTCTTATCGAGCCTGTTCCACCTATCGAACATATACTACAAAGGTCGTACGACTGACTGGCGCTTACCGATGTTCGATTTTGGCTCGCTGCCATATCGGGGCGATCGATTTCATTGACGATTCACGGGGTCATCAGGGTGGACAGGGTGATCGTTCAAGGCGTATCGACGCTTGGTCCGCGTAGCGATGTGTGATAAGCGCAAAATAAGGGAGGAGAAATAACCGTTCCCGTGGGACATACATCTCGATTACGTATAGAGAAAAAACATTTGGAAGCGAGGCAAACAATGAAACAACTGGCAATGTCTATGATAAACGCGTGTATGAATGATGGTGTCTGGTAGTGTTTGTGTATGGTCTTTTAAGACGTATCGATATGCCGACTTGTCTGACACTGGTGAAGTCTAAATCGTGTGCGATTCGATAATGTGTCGCGTAAAATAAAAAGAATAACACTATCGTGCCGATGCGACAACATCTAGACAATAATTGGAATTTAGCTAGAAATCATATTGTTGGCAGTTGTGGCTTACTTATCACTGTACCTCGCTTGATGCGATCGCAGGTGTTATAGTTGGATCCGGGAACAGGGGGCAGCTTGCGGTTCGGTGGTGCAATGTATCCAAGTTCGTCGCGAAGGTCAGGCCTGCGTTTGTCAAGGGTAGCTCCGCCAACTCCGGTTTGCTGATATACCACGTCGTCTGAAAGGATTAAGGTACAAGTGTCGATCGGAAGTTCGATAATCTGGATCATTCGATATTTGATTTGGATCGATCATCAGAAAAATAATTTGTACACCCTAGTTCTTCGTCCGTGTTATTTTCGTTCGATCAGTTAAACTTTCCCTTTACTGAAAAATTATCCTTCTGATAAACTTCCGTCTGCTTTTTGACTTAGCAAGTTAAAATAATAAAAAAAAATTGGTATACATTGTCCTTCGTAATATTTCTCGTCGGCTGATGAGATACCTCGCAGCCGTGTTTGTTCCGGACCTCGTGTTCTCCTAGATAGAGCGACGCAAATCACCACTATGCCTACAATAATCACAACAACCGTAGCTCCGACCGGCACCACCACGTTTACGTCAATCCAGCTAGGTAACCAGGGGAAATAACGTCTGACATCCGTGTTGTCGTTACCACCATTGCGTACGGGGGGTGCGATCGTACCTGTTCCACGGAAAGATAAAACAAAGAAAGATTACCTTTATCGCTACCATGGCCCTTTCCTCTGAGAACGCAGATCACGATGACGGCAACGATTATAACGAGAATAGCTGCTACCACGGGTACGACCAGATTTAAGTTAGCCATGAAAATTTTCATCGGATCCTCGTCGTTGCCACCACCGTTCACGTCAGGTAGCTCGCGGGCCGGTGCAATGGTGCCTGGAACAAAAAATACGGCGACCATTCAATCCAGCCACCATTAGCACCGGCTACGAGTGTGCTGTTGCCATTTTAACCTTTGCCATACTTACCTCCAGTTACAGTGAGTGTCGCAAATTCGTATTCGGCTACCGTGAAACCAGCATTGTTGTGAGCAGTAACGCGCAAGTGATACCAGCTAGCAGGGTCCAAATCCAAAACAACGAAGTTTCCGCCGGGTTTGACATTGTTCGATACCTGATTCCATTCCTGTTGGTGCCTGAATAGCGTCAAATCAACTCGCTTAAATCCCCGTCAAATCCAAAAGATCCTTAATTCGATATAAAACTTTTCTTACTTCTTCTTGTGTTCGACAACGAAGTAGAGCATGGGGCAGCCACCGTCAGACCAAGCGCTCAAATGGAGAGTGATGCTGTTCGTGGAGACTTCGATGAACCTAGCCGCTTCGGGAATGATCGGTTTCGAGCCTTTCGTGCGAGTGTTAAGCATGTCAGAGGGATCGCCGGTTCCAATTCTAAGAGAATCACGGCTAATCAGTTTCATTCCGCGAGAATTTCGTTCGCGTAGGCCTAGATTGTTACCCGTTGTATGCAGTGACGTAAATCTGGTATCTCGAGCCGCACCACAGATTTTCCAAAGTGTATTTCTGAGCAGTAGAACTCATCTGTGCAGTTTCCCAGTCGCCGAATTCCGGTTTGTAGTGAATCGTGTATCCATGAATCGGAGCGTTGTCAGTAGGATGAGGTCCAAGTTTCATTGTCAACGAGTTGGTGGTGGTAGCAGTGAGGGTGACTTGCGGCGAGTGTGGGGGAGCTATGAAATGCCACCGTATCTCGATCATTCGTTCCGCGATCTCATCCAGTCCATTACTAATAGCACTCACCGTGAACGATCAGTTGATGTGTAACGGTGTCATGGCCAAACGAGTTTTCGACATAGCACGAGTATTCTCCGGCATCGGTACGATCGACTTCCTTAATGAACAGAGATCCTTCGGGCAATTGTCGCAGTCTGTCGCTTGATTGAAGAACGGCGCCACGTACTTTCCAAATGACTTCCGGTGCAGGTACTCCAACAGCCAGGCAGGGTAATTTAACATCTTCCTTGTAGGTAGCCGTGAATTTGTCGTCGAACGATGCGATCTTTGCCGGTACTAGAATTTTACGAGATACAAAAATTATAATAAATATAAAGACATATAACGAATACACGTAGCAAGAGTTTGAAAAATACCGCGAACACTTGGTGCCAATGCCACGATCTTTGAAGCCTCTCCTTCGCCAATGTTGGTGCTAGCAGTTACCCAGAAATCGTATCGACGTTGTTTATCCAATCCAGATGCCTCGTGGGTCAGTTGATTCGGTGGTACTTTTTGGCTAGTCGGTTCCTCGGTGTTGTCTGCCTTGGTGTAAACGGTATACTGGGTGATCACTCCATTTGGTTGGCTTGGTGGGCGCCACGAGACGAGAATCGATTCACCAGACATGACGAGAGACTTGATCGCGATAGGTGCTTCGGGGACTACGAGAAATATAGCACTGAGTACCTCGTAGACCTCGTACGATTCGTTTTGCAGTTATATTTACAGAACGCCACTCACCATCTTGTTCCGTTTGGCAGTGAATAGGTGCAGACTTAACTCCATCGCCACCAGAAGTGAAAGCCAAAACCTGCATGCTGTAGTTGGTGTATTTCTTCAGTCCGTGTAAAATGGTCTCGCTGGAGGAGGTGATCTTTGTGTCCTTGGAGTTTTCGTCGTACCACGTGTCAGAGGGTCCGTAAATAACCTACAAAAGGAAACTGTAAACACCGCTACAACCAGATTTATTCTTAATGATACCAAACCTACCTTGTATCCAGTAATGACTCCGTTGGCAGCGCTAAGAGGTGGTGACATCCAGGAAACTCTGATGGTCTGAGAGGTCAAAGTGGTGCAGGTAGTGTCATGAGGGGGTTGTTCGGGTACTCCTTCGGCAGTGTGTTGTCTACGTTCCTCGCTCATTGGTCCCGATCCAACTTTGTTAAACGCTTGAACGACAACGCTGTATTGGGTGTAGGTCTTCAGGTTCATGATCTGCAAGTGGTGTTCCTTTCCATCTTCCTTCAAGAAGTCCACGGTTTCGAACATGTAGGGTTTGTCGGAGGAAGAGAGTCTGTAGCCAACGTAGTATCCAAGAATCTCGCCGTTCCAGTCTTCGCGTGGGGGTGGTTTCCATGTTACCTAATCGAATAAAATGGATAATTGCGTTCCAGTTGAATCGCGATACCCTTCGTTATTCGGAAATCGAATTACGGGAAACGTTACCTTAAGAGTGTGTTGGTTAAGAGCATCGACGCGAACAGAGGTTGGTGGGCCACTAGGAGCTTCTTCGGCGGTAATGATAGTAACGGTATCGGACGGATCAGATGCACCAATTTCATTCTCGGCAACAATTCTCAGGTGATAGGTAGTGGCAGGTCTCAGATTGAAAACACCGGCTACGTTCTGTTGCGATCCAGGTACGAGTACTCTGTCGATATCGGTTTCCCAGGAGCCTTTGCTGATCTTGTATTCAATGACATAGCGTTTCATGGGGCTGTTTCCGTCGTATGGTGCTGCCCAGGAGAGTTGAACCGATCGTCCGGATTTGTCTAATACTTTCAAGCCATATGGAACTTCGGGAACCTCTGCGAGCAAATTTTATTTATTCGTTTCATTACTTCCATATTAATTAATTAAGCGATTAATCCGTAGAAAGATCGACTCAAACCTTGTACGATCATGTTGATGCTAGTGTCATCGCTTCCAAAGGCATTGGTGGCAACGCAGGTGAAGAGGGCAGAGTCGCTTCTTTCGGTTCTCTTGATGCTCAGGTCAGAGAGTACGCCATTGGCCAAAATTTCCTCACGGATGGTGTAACGAGAATCGCTCTTCGGGTCCAGTCTCTTGTTGTTCATGTTCCACAAAATGCCAATTGGTTTCTCTCCTTGAGCCTCGCATTGCAGTACAGCCGGTTCTCCGCGTCGTGCAGTCTGGTTCTTCAGTTTGATCTCAAAGTGGGGTGGAGCTGTGAACGAAATGGTATAGAAGTTATCGTTGAAATTACAGAGAGCAATGAGGTAACGATCGCGAGTAGGTTACCCTGAACCGAGATGAGAGTAACAGCCGAGAGTCCTGCGCCAATTCCGTTTACAGCCTCGCAAAGATAGTAGCCTTCGTTGGTCTTTTGAATGTTGTTAATAGACAGGGTTCCATCCTCGACGCTGATGTCTGGGTTGTTCAGTTTCAAGTCGGTGTAATCGCCCGGTGTATCGCCTAGAAAATGAAAAGGGAAACTTGCGATGCGAAGAACATTCGGGACATTAAAGGGAAGACGAACGATAATCATCGAGGCGAATATTATTACCAGCTGCTTTCTTCCATGTGACCTGGGGCTTGGGGAAACCATCAGCTTTGCATTCAACGCGTGCGTCAGAGCCTTGAGCAAATGCCTTATCGGTAGGTTCCAGAATCCAACGTGGAGGTACTGTTACAGAACAACAAGGTTACTCGAATGTTCTCCCGGCGTGTTCGATATATCGGCAGTTAATCCGGGAGTCAGTCGCATCGTGATCTCGAGTTCACGCAAGGTTCCACGGGAACCTTGGAACCGTCGACAATCCTTATCCTCGGACGACATTTCTCTTTCTCGGAGTGAACGAATGAAACAAAACTGGAGATCACGACGATCAGTTTCGTGGCATGCTGAACGAAACGCGACTCGCTCCCGCAACTGCGACAACACTGCGAAAATTCGACATGCGGGAATTCGAGATGATTATGCGGGTGTCTACTGGCACGAACAGAAAGATGGTTAACAGGCAGATAGAAGAGATTGCGTTTGCGGCTCTGAAGGAGCTCACAGCGCGCATGCAAGGAACGCTATGGTACTATGCTACTCGAGCACGGTCCATCATGCTGCACCGCTTGAAAAATAATGTACGCGTTATAGGCTAAGGAACGATAGCATGCGTATTAAAAGATATATCGGCTACTACTACAAATGCATGTAAAAAATGAACGAGGCGAGACGTGTGGTGAGAGGCGGGGCGGAGGTGAAGAGGTGAAAGAGGTTCTTTTCCACTGGTTCACGAGGCAGGGGTTGAAAGGGTGATTTTCGAGGGTGATTGGATGGTCGGTCGGTCATCTTGGAACAAGGACACGTTGTAGCGCGACGGGGGTACGGTGAGGTATAATAAATCGACACTCGAATGTGATCACGAGAGACGCAGCTCGATCGCTGGGACCTAGAGATTTCGCTGTGAGATCGCGATGATCCACCGATCGACTATTCGGTATCCGTATGAGAGTGATTAAATGGCACGTGAGTATGTAACGCGATGATGAGAGTCGCGCATGATAACGAAAAATGGCGTGTATCCTAATCACGTGCCTGGATTTGTTGTCGCGTGGCGAGAAAACAATTGGAAAGCCAACGAAAAGTGTCGTCGAAGAAATTAGCGACGATGAGCATGACAACGAGACAGGGTAATCAAACGAGGCGAAATACTTAGCCACAAATACGATGCGGGTCAAGCTCAACCAATTTGCTGGGGGTTTGGGGGGCACGTAGGACTCTGGGCGTGACTTTGCGTTTGCTACTCGGCTGAAAAACATAGGCGGGACCAGAAAGTGTGAACAGAAACGTAGAAGAAACGCAAGTAGACAAACAGGTATATACAGAATTACGAGAGTAAAGAGTAGAGAGAAGACAGAGAGAAAGGCGTAAGAAAAGAGAGATAGATAGATAGATAGATAGATAGAGAGAGAGAGAGAGAGAGAGAGAGAGAGAGAGAGAAAATTAGAAAGAGCAAGAGAGAAAGAGAAACAGAGAAAGAGGGAGATGAGAAACGGCGCGCAAGAGTGTCGTCCGCGGCGACGAAAGCAACACGCTGTTGTGTCAAACTCTTCCGCTGAGAACTGAAATCCAGAAAGCTGCGCCAAGGAAACACGACAGCTTCGGCAACGACGAAGATGCATCAATCAAGCCTGCAATCAAATACTCTCACGGGCCTCCGACGCGGTTGCTTTTCATTCCGACTTATTCAATCATCGTTCAATCATTAGAATGTATCATTCAATGATCCCATTAGTCTGGCCCTAACCGTGAACTCGCAATGTCGCCTCGTGCATCGCTTTGCCGGACGGATTGCTGGCGATACACGTATAACGTCCAGCGTGCTCCGGTGTTACCGGCTCGATCAGCAAGATACTCGTCCGTGGGCCGAGTTTCCCGATGTTGTATCCCATGAATTGCGACAGAGGCTGGTCCTCGTGGGTCCAGGTAATATCGATGGGAGTGTCACCCACCAGCACCATGCACGCCAATTGGGCAGCCTGCCCCGCATAAATCGGTTGATCCCCAAAATCGAACGGACTGATCCGTGGCACGACTGGAATGATATTCTCTAACTAGATCCACGGTACACCCTCTCCCTGTCATCCGTTTTCTCTGCGACCCCTATCCGTGGGCTGGACCAGTCTGCGACCAGTCTCGTGGTCATATTCATCGTCGACTTTCATCGGTTCGTTGATTTTTCCCTACCATCCGCGGCAGACTCTCACGGCTCTTGTCTTTCGTCCGTGATCTCTCGGTAACCCTCCTCCATCGCTGTATATCGAAACCTACTTTACGCGTTTCCGTTACACGCGTTCGTTGGCGAACGATACATGCCGGAATCATCGTCGTTTCTCTCTTTCTCTCTCCGAGAATCGTCTCTTGCCGATGATGATTCGCGAAGGACGAAGAGAAGGATGGAGAAAGTGCCAGAGAGAAAAGAGAGAAGAAGTAAGAGAGAGAGACAGAAACGGAAAGAAGTAGAGACACAGTGTATGAGCGTGTACGTGTGTAGAAGGAGAAAACGAGAAAGAGAACTGGACCTGGGAATGAAGGGGGAACTTTAGCTCGTCCTGAACTACGGACAAATTACCTTTGATCATGGTAGCCCAAGGATAACGAGAGTGGGACTGTGGTCCAAAAGCTACACTCGGCCGAGCGACCTACCTAAACGATGATGCTTCGAAACAAACGATGCGGGATGATAATTATATGTAAGAAAGAAAGAAAGAATGGACAGTCGAGCAAATGCAGACTTTCCAAAAAACATATTCAATATTTGTACGCTATTACAACAATCAACAGCAGACAGTAGTAGAGACTTTGCTGGTTCTGTGTCAAATATACGGCTACTACTCGAACTACGAGTCACGCAAGAGCGGATAATTAATTGAATTAATAAAAAACATCGTTCCGTTGGCCGGTCCGAATAAACGCAAACGAATGTAACGCAACACGTAAAAACGCATAGCAACGGCGTCGCAACGGGCTACGCGTCATATACGGCTGGATCACAATATCATGCCGGTTTCCAATTGTTTCGATATACCACACGTTGCTCTGATTTCTGCTGAATACCATGATTACGTGCGTGATCTCGTTTTCTGTACCGTTCACTTTCAGATGGGCGCTGTGCCTAGCACGACCGGCTGGATTATCGGCCACGCAAGCATACTCCCCGGCGTGCTCTCCCCTGACTGCGGGGATCGTCAGAGCGGACACTCTATCCCCCAACGCGGTGATACCCACTCCGTCGCCTACTTCTAAATGGCGTCCCTCGAACAACCACTTGAGCGAAATCGGCGTGTCCCCCTTTACGACCGCGCAATGGACGATTATCAGATCGCCGGAGTTGGCCTCGTCGAACGAGAACGGCTGCAGATGCGGAGCGACTGCCGAGAGATAGAGACAGATCGACTCTAGAGCCAGGCACAGATACATACAGAGCAGCGGGAGAAAATAGACGTTTCGTTTTAGCAGGGATGGTTTAACCACCGCGTGATTCGCTCACGGGGATAGTCCGTCGCGGTTATTAACGATGAAACGATTAGCTCGCTCCATCTCGAACGCGGAGTCATCCTGAGATCCTGCACCCGAGAAGTTTCCCTCGCGTTACCACCCGGTTAACCAAGCGTGTCGCCATTTTGCCGATGTGCGTCCAAGAGAAATAGAAAATAATATGGAACGGTGAACTCGAGCCGGAAAATAATCGAACCAAGGAGGTAGAAATAAGAAGGAAGGTCTATCGACGTTGCTCAAGCAAGGAGAAATACGCTGCTACTGGAGAACTGGTCGAAGGACTGGCTGGACTGTTTCAAAGGGACAAGACAAAGATGTACGTAGGTGTGTGAGGTTCGAATTAAAAGATCTATATTCATCACATAGATCTTTGGTTTCTTAAGCACCGTTGACAATCAGATCGGCCGAGAGCTCGTGCCTTCCGGCAAGGTTTTCCGCGATACACGTGTACGTTCCAGCGTGTGTCGCCTGGACGGATCCTATGCTGAGTATGGCGCCCCGTCCGCCGAGATCCACGATTGAGATTCCAGAGTGCGGCGAAATCGCATGACCGTTTAAGGTCCAGCGAAGCTTCAAGGGTTGATCGCCCTCGACCACGGCGCACGGTACCGTTACTACTTGACCCGAGTTAAGCGGTTTCTCGCCGAACGAGAACGGCAATAATTTCGGAATGACTGGAAAGAGAGAAAAAAACTGAAAGGAACAAAAGTCTGCTTTGGTCACCGCGACGCGGTCAGGCTGTAACACCGCCACGGTCACGCAATCGTAGCTCAAGGGAGAATCCTCTCCCCGTCTCGCTCGCCGATCGAACGTTGCTCGAATTTCATCCGCGAGTTATCGTGTCGCGCTTCCTTGCACCGCCTAGTTCACGCGACTGACCATCGACGTCGAAGGACGAAGGAAGAAAAATCAAGAGGGGAGAAAAGAAAATACCGCGAGTGACGCGACAGCGAACTGAGAGAACGAGAAAAAGAAGCAGAAAGCGAAATTAGAAAAATGCCGAGTGTCGGGGATGATAGATGGGAAGAGGCGAGGAATCGAAGAGAATAGATTGGTCAATGCGAGGGAAGGGAGATGGTGGGTGGTATGATGGTGTGGAAGTCTCGTCGACAAGCGTGTACCATTGACGTCCAATTTGGCAGAATGCGAAGTCGATCCAGCCGCATTCGAGGCAACGCAGGTGTACTCTCCGGCATGTCTCGCAGCTACGGACTCGATAGTCAGTTGCTTGACGCGTTTTCCAGAGCTAGACACGATCACGTCCATTTGGTCGAATCTGATAGGCTGGTTATCGAAGGTCCAAGTGATCTCCAGAGGAGAGTCGCCTTTGGTCACCACGCATTGTACCGAGACCAAGTCTCCAGCGTTCACAGGCTCGTCGCCAAAGGAGATCGGCGCGATCTGCGGAGATACTATGAGACGAACAACCACATAGAGACTGTCGATTGGAAGAAATTGAAAGCGTGACGATCTTGTGAATCGCACGCGCACGAGGATTGCCGATACGAGAGTAAATCCACGCCGAAAAGAAAAACAAAAGGACCGAAGACTATGGCGGTCCCACGCGTGTAACAGCAGGAGTTGAGGAACGACTTTGGGAAAGTTTCGATGGGAGATCGTGCGAGATGCCTTAATGGTATAATTGCGTAGTACCGTTCACCGATAACTCTGCCGAACGGCTGACGGATCCCACCAAGTTGCTTGCGACGCACGTATATTCGCCTGCGTGATGCGCGGTCACAGAGTCGATGATCAGGACCGAGTTCTTTCTCCCGGTTTTCGTGACAGTTATGTCCGGATGGCTAGCACGTGTGATCGGTTCTCCGTTTAGACTCCACTGTATCTCGATGGGCGAGTCACCTTTCAAGATGCTACATATTGTGGACATTTGTTCGCCCCAATTGGCTGGTTCCTCGCTGATAGAAAATGGCGCGATCTGCGGAGCGACTAGAAACAACATCCGACAACTATTTCAATCTCGTTCGATTCGCGATACCCGGTCTCGGTCAGTCTGTACGTCCGTGTCACGAAGAAGACGGGAGACGGTAGGAGAGAAAGAGTAAAGGGACGGGAAGAAAAAGTAAGGAAGGAAGCAAAGTTTACGGGAGCGAAGTTTAGTCGGGAGAAAGGAGATAGTCTCGAAGTTTTCACGGACGCGTGCTAGTGAAAGGGAATGATAGCAGTTCCGTTCGTATCTATTGCATGACACAGCTCACGGAGCCGATTCATGCATTTCTCTGTACCGTTAACGGCCAAGGTAGACGAATAGCTCGTGGCTCCTGCTGCGTTCGAGGCTGTGCAAGTATATTCCCCGGCATGCCTGGCGCTCACGGCCTCGATGGTCATCAAACTGACTCGTTTGCCAGTGCTCGAAACCGTGATATCGTCGTGATTCTTGCTAGTGATTGGCTCCCCGTTCAGAGCCCACGCCACGTCGATAGGCAGGTCACCCTTAAGAACGGTGCAGACCGCCGAAACTGCTTCTCCCCAATTCGCGGGTTCGTCGCTGATCGAAAACGGCGCGATCTGCGGCGCGACTGAAAACGTTTACGCAAGATCGATGAGCATGCGACCAACCGAGAACCGCATGATCGTCCTCGTTAACCTAATTAAGAGACACAGAGGGACGGATGCCATTCCGTCGACGAATCGATCGATCGTCCAATCTCTGCTTAGCTGTTCGACTACTCGAGCGGGATCGCGAGTTTCATTCGAAATGTCCCCCAACGTCCCCCGTGTACACACGACGATATATAGGACAGGTATGAATACACCGGTGAGAATACAGGCGGATGAGCAGAGGGATGAAAGAGGGAGGTCCCAGCTTTCCCGTCGTCTAAACGAAAGAAAGTCTGAACAGACGTGCCGGTCTACACATATGCGTGCGTATTACCGTTCACGGCTAACATGGCCGTGTGGCTCGAGGCTCCAGCCCTGTTCGACGCGGTGCAAGTGTACTCTCCCGCGTGTCTTGCGGCCACGGCATCGATCGCCAACACGCTCAGCCGCTTGCTCTTCGTGATCGTGTACTGATCGGTTCTCTCGGAATCGATCGGCGCCCCGTTGAACGCCCAGGATATGTCCATCGGGAAGTCTCCCTTCAGGATCGAGCAGGTCGCCGAGATCGCTTCGCCCGAGTTCACTGGCTCGTCGCCGAACGTAAATGGAAAGATCTGCGGTGCAACTGAGAAACGGGCGGCACACGTGTCAATCGATCGGGAAATTTCACGATTTCGGGAACGCGTGTCTCGTCCACTCGCCGATTTCTACTCCTCGTTCTACCCGTACGGGAAAACACAGGCAGACACCGGGAAACGGGTGGAGGGAACGGGTAAACTCGGAGCGGATAGACGGCAGCACGGGAATGTCAGATATAAGATACGTGAGATGCAATAATGCGAGGATCGTTTGGTTGTTTTGTAGGCGATGCTTATGTGCAAAACTCGTTTGACGTGCAAGCGTGCTTCCTTGGATAGATACCGTTCACGGCCAAAGTCGTCGAGTGGCTGACGTTTCCAGCTCTGTTCGTCGCGACGCACGTATACTCGCCCGCGTGTCTCGCTGCCACGGACTCGATGCTCAGTGCGCTCATATGTTTATTGATCCTCGTGATAGTAACGTCCGGATCGTTGAAACCTATCTCCCTACCGTTAAACTTCCAAACGATCTCGACCGGAAAGTCGCCTTTCATAATAGAACAGGTAGCCGAGACCATGTCGCCCGAGTTAGCTGGTCCGTCACTGATCGAGAATGGCCCTATATGCGGCACAACTACAAGGACATGGAAACTTCGTTTAGCATTCATGGGGCACGGCACGCTGATTAATGGCTATCAATTCTGCCAGCTGCCTCACGACCCCGTAAACGTTTGCCATCGGTTTACAGACGCTTCGCATCGCGAGATCGGTTATTCTGGATAGTCGTCGATGGGAAACAGCTCGATAATCCCTGTCGCCGATTCGCTGACACGCCGATGAAGAATTCATTGGAGAAACCTATACCGTGCCGCGTATCACCGCGATCTCGTGACACGCGGCCAAACGCTTCCTCTCCACCTCGGCGATGCGGAATGGAAGGAAACGGTAAGGACGATGGACCGTTGCTCGCATGCATGAAACGAAAAGAAAACAGAGAAGACTAGAAGGGAACGGAAGAAGAGAAAATACGGGATATCGCTGTACCGTTCACGGCCAGAGATGCGGTATAACTCGTTCCACCGGCTGCATTGCTGACAGAGCACGTATACTCTCCCGCGTGTCTCGCTGTCACGGCGTCGATTGTCAGCACGCTGACACGCTTGCTGGTATTTATTATCGATATGTCGTAATGGTTACGCGAAATCGGCTCGCCGTTCAGGGCCCACTCGATCTGGATCGGGTGATCCCCTTTCAGCACCGTGCACGTTGCCGTCACTGTGTCCCCCCAATTCGCTGGTCCCTCTCCGATCACGAATGGCACGATTTCCGGTGCAACTGCGTCAGAACAATGCCCGAGACGTGTCACTCTCTATACAAAGTTAGTCAAACGATGAAACCAACTTCCCTGAGTACGCCGAGCGTGATAACGACGATACCTAGTCGCAAAGACAGCACCGTGTCATCTTCTTTCGAAGGAAACGAAGTAAAAGAAAAATGGAAGAACCGAAGGAATCCGGAAGGATGCGACTGTTTGCAAGAGACGGGAAGAACGGGACACGGGGGAAAGCTGTCTGGCCGAGTATCGTGCATGCATGGAGAAAATGAAGCAAACCGAATGGGATAAGGAACACGTATTGTACCATTCACGGCCAAAGTCGCGGTGAAACTCGTTCCACCAGCGGCGTTGCTGGCCACGCAGGTATATTCCCCGGCGTGACTCGCTGTCACGGCGTCAATCGTCAGCAAGCTGACACGCCTGCTTGTCGCGATCGATATATCGGAATAATCGTGGGAGATCGGTTCGCCGTTGAGAGCCCATTCGATCTGAATCGGAGAATCACCCTTCAACATGGTGCAGGTTGCGGTGACCGTGTCTCCCCAGTTTGCTGGTTTCTCACTGATCACGAACGGAGCTATCTCGGGGGCAACTAGGACGAACAAAGAATCCTTAATTGACCTGTAGTACCACGACTCGATTACCACTTGCGACTACCTGTACCGAACGATTCGAACGATTAGACAGGGATTTCGAAGGCCGCCTATGAATCGGGGATCGATCTGCTTCGTCCGAAAGAGATTCCAAGCCTCAACCACCGACACCGACTAAAAAGGCAGCGAGGAAACGGTGATGAGAGACAGGGAGTGCAAAGAGGGAAGTATCGGAGAACGTCTCTGTTGAGGAAAGTGTACCATTGACAGCCAGGGTAGCAGAATGACTGGTGGCTCCAGCCTTGTTGGACGCCGAACACGTGTACTCTCCCGCGTGTCTCGCGGCCACGGACTCGATGCTGAGGATGCTATTCTTTCGCGTGGTTGCCAGAATGTTAATATCCGAACGATCACGGCCGATTGGTTCGCCGTTCAGAGCCCACGTGATCTCGATGGGTAAATCGCCCTTGAGGATGGCGCACACCACGGAAATCGAGTCGCCCCAGTTTGCCGGCTCCTCGGTGATTACGAACGGAGCTATCTGCGGTGCGACTGTAACCGAGTACTTTGCTACTTTTTCTCTGTCCTTTGTGAAAAAGACCAGCGTTGCTGCGAGTTCACACGACCCCTTCGATTACTCGTCGCGGTACGAGATAGCGGAAACGGTACGCGGGATTACGGTGAACAGGAGGATCGAAAGGGGATGAAATTCGAGGGATGTCTATATATCCGTGTTCGGATGTCTATCGTGTAGATACCGTTCACTGTCAATTCCGCCGAATAGCTGGTAGCGCCGGCTGCGTTCGAGGCTACGCAAGTATACGTTCCCGCGTGACTCGGACTGGCCGAATCTATAGACAGCAGGCTGTTCCTTTTCGTGGTAGTGACGGATATCCGATGAGTCTCGTCGACAGGCATATCGTTCAGCGCCCAGCTGATCTCGAGCGGGGAATCCCCGTTGACTACGGTGCAGACAGCCGATACGGAATCACCCCAATTCACAGCCTTGTCGGCCATTTCGAACGGGGCGATGCGTGGCGGTACTGTCGACGTGATAACAACGCTAGATGGATAGGTCGAAGGTGTCGATGTACATAGGTGTATCGTTAACTGATGAAAGCACGCGACTTTCGTCGAACAGGGACAAACGGCGGGATTGCTATCCGACATCCTACGGAAGGTATGACGAGAGGAGAAGAAGAGGGTCGTAAGAAATGGCGCGAAGAATTTCGTCTCGACGACGCGTTTACCTCCACGCGCTCAGTGGCGCCTATCATCGTGAGCGCATACCCCCGCTGTATCATACGGCCGACCAACCACCCAATCGGTTCACCCAATCGTTCCAAGCTAACCAAAGCGTACCGTTCACTGACAGAACCGACGTGTGCGTGGCGGATCCTGCTGCGTTGGTCGCGGTGCACGCGTACTCGCCCGCGTGTCTTGCGGCTACCGAGTCTATCGTCAGGGTGCTGATCCGTTTACTACTTCTGGTCACAACGATGTCAGGAATGTCGTAACTGTGGTCACCGGACACGCGTCCGACATCGATAGGCCGACCGTTCAGCGACCACACGATCTTCACCGGCAAATCGCCTTTGATCACGGCGCACTGAACGGTGGCCATTTCTCCCGCGTTGGCAGCCTCGTCACCGAACACGAACGGCGCCAACTGCGGCCCGACTGCAAGTTCCAAACAACCTTTGAAGCACGCGCAGGAGCTTCCGGAGAGGGACACGGGTACGGAGTTCGTGTGCTCCGGATAGTCGAGGCGCGAACACAATCGCGTACCACGAACGTCGCGTTGGAGCTGTCGGAAGTTATGCAGTTGGGGGATAACAGGGTGTAAACTAGAACGGTTACACAGGATTCGGACGGGTGACGGGAGTTGGATAGAACGACAGAAAGAACTGTGAAAAAAAAAGCAATACGAAAACAATTGAAAGAAACATGGACCATCGTCACGCTGTATCCGCGGGATGGACCGTGTCCTTACCTGCCGTCGTCTCTGACGATAATCTTACCTTCCCATCGTACGCGAGGATCGACTTTCGTTCACGCATTGTTCGATCATCGGCACGACGACGGCAGTGGCCTTCTTTGATAAACATTATTACACTATGAAGATTACTGCGGAAAACAAGACGTTACGAGAGAAAATACTGAGAGTGTACAAAGCGATCGAAAAACGCGCCGACCTGTCTTTCGAGGCAAATCCGCCACCTCTGTAACCTCGTATCCGCGAAACGGAAAAAGTTTCCGGGAAACGTTCGCGAATCGATCGATCTCCCCTATTCCGTAAATTCGTGAAACAATAACGAGTTATTCTTTGGAAAGGAACGACCCACATTCGTCGAAAGTTTCTTCCACTTGTCCACGACCGCGATCGATCCCCCTCGAATGGTCGGCGCGCTCTTTAATGGCCCGTTTATAGTCGCAAAGTTAATAAATTCGTATAGTCGAGGGGGGTACCGTTGACCGAGAGCACGGCGGTGTGACTGTCGGATCCGGCGGCATTAGACGCGATGCACTTGTATCTTCCAGCATGCCCTGCCGCCACACGGTCGATGCTCAAGAAGCTGACCCTCTTATTAGTTATGATATTAACGTCCGGTCTGCTCGAGTCTATCGGGGTGTCGTCGAACGTCCAGGTCAGATTCACCGGGAAGTCGCCTTTGACGATCGTGCAAGAGACTGACAGCATCTCGCCGGAGTTGAGAGGATCGTCGCCGAAAGAGAACTGGAGGATCTGTGGCGCGACTGCGCGAGCGACACGGCAGCATGGTCGAAAAAAGGTAGCGGGGCGCGTGAGAAAGAAACGAAAGTGAGAATAGGATCGAGGATCGAACTTTGCATCCCCTGACGGGAAGCTCCGCTCGCAGCCCGCGTACTCACAGATCCGAGCGTCGATCGTACGAAGGGGGATCAGGGACAGGGGAGTTCGCGAGAGGAAGGATAAACGTGGTAGATGACGGAAAGGATGACAATGACGTCTATGGGTAACGAAGGGGTCGTACACATGTACCGTTTACAGTTAGCTGAGAAGAGTGCGACGTGGCGCCAGCACGATTCGCCGCGGTACAAGTATATTCTCCAGCGTGCCTCGCCGCGACCGACTCGATAGTTAAGACGCTGTTTTTCTTGTTTGTACTTCCTATGACGACGTCGGATCCGTGGTGGCTGTCGATCGGAGTCCCGTTAAACGCCCAAGATATCTCGAGAGGCTGATCGCCCTTGGCCACGGAACAAGTTACGGAGACTAGCTCGCCCCAGCTAGCGGGCTCGTCGCCAAAAGTGAAGAGTAGTATTTGCGGGGCAACTGGAAAAGACGACTGGAAGAGTCGATACGAGGAGGAACGAGTGTCGATTCGCGAGCAACGCTTTTGCCATCGGGCCTGAGTGTTTCGACGACGACGACGACGACGTTGACGACGACGACGACGGCGGTGGGGTTGGTATGGCGGTGAAGATGACACTGATGCGCGATAGGAGAGAAAGGTTGCGGTGGATGACAGGAGGGGTTTAGGAACCGGGAAGGTAGGCGTGAAAGGTGAGATGGGGAGAATAGAGAGGGGAGGGAAAATGGGTGGCAAAGGTCGAAGAGGAAATCGTACCGTTCACCGTTAAGGTTGCCGATCGACTGACGGACCCGGCGAGATTCGATGCGGAGCAGGCGTACTCTCCGGCGTGTCTTGCAGAGACGCCGTCGATGCTAAGGGTGCTCAGGTGTTTGCTGATTCTCGTGATAGTGATACTAGCATCTTTGGACGTGTCGATCGGCACGCCGTTGAACGCCCACGATATATCCATAGGCATATCGCCTTTCAAGATCGAGCAAGGTACGGACACGGAGTCTCCCGAGTTGGCGACCTCGGCATTGAAAGCGATCGGTAGAAGCTGCGGGCCAACTGAAGTCATCGTACAATTAGAATCGAGACTCATCGCATGCTCTGCACAGTCCTGTGAATCTCATTGCGCAGCGCAATGGCCGTCGCCTGTGTGGTGAAACAACGATAGCGTTCAAGGTCTCGCGAAAGCGAACGTTCCGGGCAAGGGATCGTCGGGGCTCTCGATGCGGGAGAGATTAGGCCAGGATACGAAACGGGGACTTGACTACGGTGCTCTTTGCCAGGATTGTGCATAAAACGAACGAAAGGAAAGAAAAAAAAAAAATGTAAAAATGAGAAAGTGTATATATCTCTCTAGGAACGGATGATAGTCCCGAACCATTGACGGTGAGTGTGGTCGAGTGGGACGCGGTTCCAGCCGCGTTTTCAGCGGTGCAAACGTACTCCCCCGCGTGTCTCGCGGTGATGACTGAGATCATGAGCATGCTAACGCGATCCGCGACCTTCTTGGCAAGTACGCCGGAGGAACCGCCCATCTCTTCTCCGGGATAGCTCCAACGTATGTTCAAAGGCAGGTCACCGGTCGGTACGATACACTGCAGGTTTGCGAACTCTCCGGCGTTCATGGGTAGCTTCGTGAACGAGAACTGCTGTATCGTGGGCGGCACTGAGGGTGGAGGATCGATGTATGGACGTGTGATGACAGGTCGCGAGCGTATGTACGTGGACGTGTGTACGTGTCGTACGTCGCGTGTACCGACGTGCAAACGTCGATGGGTTGGCTGCGTTTCGTGCGTGTCTTTTTAAATCGGAACGGAAAAAAGGAACTTGTCCGCGCAAAAACAAACGGAGATCGACAGACAGCGATACCACTAGGCGGAAAAACGATTCGCGTCACGAAACCAACCCATTGGCCGTTCATATATGTACGTTCAGAGACACGGTATACTCGGTGGAGCAGCGGTCCGTTACTACGCGCGATGAGAGAACAATTCTGACAAGAATGCACCAGATTTCTTACGGTCGATCGTCGGCCACCGCCATACCAACTTCCAACATTCCAACGAAAGCGTTCGTGCCTCTTTTCGAGACGTTTCCATTCTATACCACGCGATCGACGCGTTCGTGAAATCTGCAACGGGGTCGTCGTCCGTGTGCGTGTGCGTGTCCGCGTCCGTGTCCGTACGCGCGACAATTCTCGAATCGCGATTCACCCGATTTTACCCGACTTTACGTTACAGTTCTCGCGACTCTCGATTTTTCGCCGAGATACTCGACTGGACGTAATTCCGCCTTATCGGGCACCATCGACAAGTGCCAGGATTCGCTGAAAGAGTCGTTATTAGAACTGTAAGACAACGTCGATCGCCATCGTATGGCGTCCGACGGATCCTCTAACATCTGCATACCTGAAAAGAACGTTTTACGCAGGGTTCGGGTCGCGATACCGATTTCGTCGATTGCGCGCGTTCAATCCACGCGCTTTTCCGTCTCAAAGCAGGAGAGAAGAAAAAAAAAAGAGAAAATAAATGCCTAATTCGTTGATCAACGACGCATTCCGTGCGATGTACGCGTTGAGAATACGTAATCGAAAGATTTTCGCGACACAAGATCGCGACTCTATTCAAATTTCGATTACTCGATCGAGTCAGGTGTACGCGAATATTCGAATTCGCGGGGTCGATCTTGAGGACAGATAAGGAAACTTCGAACTTACCCATTACTTGAACTTCCAGTGTTCCTCTAGCGCTGTAGCCTTGTGCGTTACGTGCAACACAGGTGTACGTAGCCTGATCGCTCATTCTCTCGACGTTCTCGATGATAAGGGTGCCATTGGGGAAGACCTTCTGTTTCCTGTTGCTCGGTAATACTCTGGTGTCTCTTTCCCATACGATGCTTTCGATCGGGTATCCAGCAACCGGGCAGGTCACGCGGAGAGTTTCGCCAGCAACGATAGCCTTTTTGTCCATGTGACGGATGAAGGGGAGTCCATAAACGTTGAGACGTGCCGAATGTTCCGCGGATCCAACCTGTGCGAACAAGAAATCCTTCCGTTATTATCCCATCCCGTTCTCGCGGTTATTCCCATCGGGAAGAGAAGGTAGAAGCTTACCTTTGAAGCTGCAATGCATTTGTAGAGTCCGCCGTCGTTGGTATGAATGCTAGAGATGTTCAAATGAGAAACCACGTCGCCGTTCACTGTAACGTACTGTCCTACTTGAAGCCTCTCAGTGTTGGATAACCGTTTGCCATCGAGTTCCCAGGTGATCTCAGGAGTCGGGTTTCCGCTGGCGACACACTTCAGGAACATGCTTGGTCCGGGTTGAAGAGTCTCCTCGGCGAAGGCCTGGCGAATCTGCGGGGGTTCGACTGTGGGTGTAAAAACATTTGCGATCAAAATGTAAACCGCGAGTCTTAGACCCGAATTCGTCGGAACGGTCACTTACATCGTCCACCAAGTTTCAATTCAGCGGTTGCCTGGGCGCTTTCCTGGTCGTTTCTAACGAAGCACTGGTACATTCCCTTGTCCTCCTTCTTCACGCTTTCGATCCTGAGCACGGGTTCCTCGAGTCCAAACGGTTTGCCATCTTTCAACCAGGAGATCGTCTTGATGGGGTTTCCTCTGACGTTGCAGGTGAAGGTAGCCGGTCTGCCAAAGTCGATGGTCTGGGTGCTGGGTTCGATTTCCGCGACCAATGGTGCAGTTACGGTCAAAACAGTCTCGACGCTTTCGCCTCCGACAGAGTTGTTGACGATGCAGAGATATTTGCCAGAATCCTCGACGCGAGCCTCACGGATGATCAGTGTTCCGCTAACCTGACGAACGCGGTCATTCAGCTGGACTGGTTGACGACGGGAAGAGCCTTCGATGAATTTGTACCATCTGAAACGACAGGATGAAAGGGGATTGTTTTTGCGAGTCGGCTGCCGGAACGAGGCGCTTTCGTGCCGGATCGATTTTCGGTACAAAATGAAAGAGACGGTATGAAACGGAGCCGATAGAAACATCATTCCCGTGCGTGGGTCGGAATGCTCGATCCACGTGGCTCTGGAGGAACGCGATCGCGTGACGTTGGCGAGATATTCGCGAAGACGTCGGAACGAGGAGGAAAGACTAGGTCGGCACGCGATGTTTCTATTCGCCTCGCTCCACGCTGCTTTCTTTTCTTTCTCTTTAATTTTCCATATTCCGTATAGGCAGGGCTTTGGGCGTCTCTGGGCGCGGGCTTCTGTCTCTACTGCCGGCTCATTAGCGCGTGTCTCGCAGCGACACGAGTACGCAAACTTAATGAAAAAGAGAGCTTCAACAACAGCTGGAGCGTAAATAGCGGTCGTAAAGCAGAGCAGGTCGGGAAACGGAGGGACGAAGGCTGGCAGCGACAACTTCGTTACGGCGAAAAAACAAAAAGTGCGCAAGAGAAGCACCGCTTTTCGTAACCCGTGCACGCGCGCACACACACACACACACGCGCGCGCGCGCGCGCACAGGAACGCGTGCGCGCACACGCGCGGAAACCTCGCAGACAAATTGCATCGGGTACCTAAGGGAGAAAGCGAGAAGACGATCGTCGGCATGAACGTAATCGTCTTTACTCTCGATCTTTGCCACGTGCCGGATGACAGTTTGCCGAGCGATTCGAGACATCGAGGACGATCACTGGGATTGGGTGGTGTGGCGAGACGAGTTAACGGAAAGAAACGAACGATCGGGTGAAAATTAAGAAAACGACTCTTCGAATGTGGGAATAAACGGAAAATATAAATAGCGCTGAACGAAATCAAAGTAAGCTTTCACACCTTTCGTATGGGTGCGTGGGTGTGCGTGTGCGTATCGTATACAGCAAATCTCGAGAAATGGTCCCGTAATTGTGGGAATTGGACGTGGAGCTAACTTGGGAAACGAACAGAGGGGGAGGGTCAGGAAGGCGGTGACAATTGAGCGGCACGACGTGTGACAATTGTGCAAGTGGACAACGCGCGACATAATACACGAATCACGACGAGTAATCCTGGCAAGTGAGAGAAAGAGAGGGTGTGGGGCAGTGAAAAACACGAACGGATGAACGGAGGCACGAAGGTGGCGAGGACTTACCAGCCAGATATCGTGGGACTTATTGGAGGTGTGCAGGTGCAGGGCAACATTGTTCGCCCCATTGATCGGGTGACACCCTCTCGGACCACCCGGATCAGCACCGAGGTTATCGAAGGAGAAGAGGGCCCGCATCCTTTTCACAGTCGCGCTTCCGTCACCTATCTCGGGGTTGCGCCACGGGGCTCCAGTTGGCACTGAAAACCAACACGTCCGATTGGCCCCGGATACGGGATACACAATTTTCATTTTTATTTTTTTTTTTTCCTTTCCTTTTCTTCCGTTTTAACCGTAACTGTTCGTTTTCCTTTCGTTTCTATCCGTCTGCCCATTTCTTTCGTCTTCCGTAACTATCTAAAAGACACGATCACGTTCAGCTTAAATCGTGAACAAAATGCAAGAAGTTCAAAGTCGAACGAGACGAGTCGTGGCGCGAACGAATCACGAGTAGAGAAATCGGTTCTTACGACGAGAAAAGCTGCCCTATATCGTCCATCTTCTCTCTTACACGACCGTCTGCCGTCTCTTTATAGATCGTTTGCTAGAGCAGTCGGCGTTGGGATCTTGGATCATCGCTATGCATGCTTTGCCCACTCACTTTTTCCCTTGCCTTTCTTTTCTTTCTTCCGTTTCTTTCCTTTCTTTTTTCTCTTTCTTCACTCGAGGCTACCTTTGTTCTCGTTCCTCTTATCTTTTATGCTTTACGGCAATTCGTGTTTGCCTCTCGTTTCTTATTTGTTTCTTACGTTCGTCTCTCTTTATGCCTCTGTCGAACGTCCGACTTCTCGGATTTTTGCGGTACCGCCACCCGACACGGGGTAGAGGGTAAGGATGGAACGCTTCGAAAATAGGATCCGTGCTCTGCGGAGCAAGACCAAACGACCAAACAAAAGAAAAAAAAGAGAAGCTATACGGAATTGTGTGTACCTAGAGATCGGGGCAGGAAAGCCTTGTGCCGCACACGCCAGCGCCAGAGACTCGCCCTCTACCCCGCGGTACTTATTAAGGCCGTCTCCAGTCCCTTTTGGGGCAGTACGACCGGACGGTTCTGGAAGGATATCATTCATTGCCCAGAATAACTAACTCGTCCCCATTCGTTTCGTTATCGTTACATTATTATTAATATTATTATTATTTTTTTTTTCTACATTTATTCGTAATCAGATTCGTTTCACTTAATTCGTCAATCAGTTACAAGAAGAGCACCGCGAGGAAAAGGCTCTTAGTGCATATCGATTATCGATCCTCTCAATGAAACTCGCAATCAACGTCCAGCTACGACTTGATCTGATCTCCGATAGATCGGTACACACGTGAGACCTTCTTCTCGCGAGAAATTAAATATTACGTACCTCGTCCTTCTGCCCAGCGGTTAGTATCTTGAGTGGACCACGCATAAACGTCGCATGCTACTTACCTCGAAACAAGCTCGCTGATCCTCGACCGGATGACGTGCCTCGCGAAACGTACCGACGTCAACTGATTCGACTCATCGACGACGACGACGACGACGACGACAACTTTGGAAATCAGAGAAAACGATCGGGAAACGAGCGGAAAACGAACGGTAACGCTCTACCTTGTCCGGGGTACGGGGAATCCCTGCAGCGAATGACTTAACGCGATATCCTGACCTCTAGCAGCCAAAACCACCTCCCATCCGAATTTCTTGCCCGACGAACGCGGAGCAATCTCGTTCGTGCCCTCTGAAACGCGATCAACGTATTCCCGAGAACGGAAGAGAAGTACCTTGTCACTGGGACAGGAAATCCCTGAGTCGAGCAGTCCAGAGCCACCACCAACGTCCTTTGAACGTCGACGAGCTTGCCACCCTCGTAACGTTCACCGGCCATACGCGGCGAGACGTTACCTGTCGGTTCTGTAAGCGGCAAGAACGCGACTGAACCGGCGCGTGCCCAGCGATTCTGATCACCGACAACGCGAAACAATGGGAGGAAACGATGGAGAAAATGGCCAAGTACCCGAGCAGGATCGCCACCGCCTGGAGCGAGTCTGAGACGTCTCGTTTACGTTCATACGCGTGACCGTACCTGAACGTGGGGGCTGGAAAACCTTGAACAGGACACGGCAGACCCGCCATTAGATCGACTAGGATGTCCCTCTTCAGCCCAATCATGTCCTTGTCCCGTACGTTCGGGCGCACGCTACCCCGTGGCTCTGTAATAATCGGGGATGGGAAAATGTCGCTTGTCGTCGTTGTCGAACGCGTCGTCGATGCGCGGTGATAGACGCGACCGTGTCACGAAATTCTCGGAAACGACAACGTGAAGATACAGACCGATCGGACAGAGGCTAGGACGAAGGAATAGCGAGTGGTCTCCTGCGTTGCTCACCTGTACAAAGGCGGAGGACTGGCCTGAGCTTCGCACAGTAACGTCAAAGCTTGGCCCTGGGATTTTGCCAGTGCGTCGAATTTCGACCTAGGCGGCAACCGAGGAGGACTACTTCCGACCGGGTCTAGAAAGCAAAACGAGCAAAAGATTCATCCCGGCCGGCAACGGATCAATCGATATCTTCACGTTTCTCTCGCGCTCCACAGTCCATCGCCCTAACGAGATAACTCGAGGAACGAGCAAGAGCAGTCCCGGAACAGGATCGAAACTTCCTTTTCCTTTGCTCGTTCGAGCATACCTGAAGATCGGCAGCGGATGCGCCTGAGCCTGACACAACATCGCCGTAGCCTTTTGCTCCGGCAAAGAGAAGACCGTTATTTTAGCTGTGGGTGGCACTTTGGGTGCCGCACCGCTCACCGGCTCTGAATACAGAGAAACGTTGCATCGAGTGCACGTGCTCGAAGGAGTCGCCGATAAATACCTATAAGCTGGAAGAGGGTGACCCTGCGCCGGGCAAAGCATCGTTACCGGAGTAGCCACGTAACTGGCGAGGACGTCGTACTTGGCAGTAGACGCGACTCTGGGCTTGGCACCGTTTACAGACTCTGCAGAAGTACCAAATTAATGGAACAGGTGAATGGACAAGCGGAGACTAGTTCACTGACCTAAACGTGGGAGCAGGGAATGCCTGAGCGTCGCATAGTAAACTGATCTCAGCGTCGCTCGCCACCTCGAACGAGTTGATCTTTGCAGACTTGGGGAATTTAGGCGACACCCGACTTGCCGGCTCTGACATTCACAAAACGTAACGCGTTACTCGCTTTCTATTGGCCACGAAAAGTTTACCCCGTTTGGACGTGCCACCGCCGCCTTGCGCCCTCGATACGCGGAAAACGCGATCGAGACGGAGAAGAAGAAGAGAAAGAGAAAAGAATTACCTGTGAGTCGGGGGTGGAGATGCCCGAGCGGCACAAGACTCTGGGCTTGGCACCGTTTACAGACTCTGCAGAAGTACCAAATTAATGGAACAGGTGAATGGACAAACGGAGACTAGTTCACTGACCTAAACGTGGGAGCAGGGAATGCCTGGGCGTCGCATAGTAAACTGATCTCAGCGTCGCTCGCCACCTCGAACGAGTCGGACTTTGCAGATTTGGGGAATTTAGGCGACACCCGACCTGCCGGCTCTGACATTCACAAAACGTAACGCGTTACTCGCTTTCTATTGGCCACGAAAAGTTTACCCCGTTTGGACGTGCCACCGCCGCCTTGCGCCCTCGAAACGCGGAAAACGCGATCGAGGCGGAGAAGAAGAAGAGAAAATGAAAAGAATTACCTGTGAGTCGGGGGTGGCGATGCCTGAGCGGCACACGTGATCGCGAGCGAGGATTTCGCGGCTCTGACATAGGTGACACTTTTCGCGTCGCTCTGAAAGGCTGGCGCCTTGGATCCCACGGGCTCTAGATCAAATAAACGCGGGACAAAGAGGTCTAGCTGGAGCGAGAAGCTGTCATTTACCTGAACGACGGAACTGGGAACCCTTGTGCGGGACAAAGTAACGTCGACGAGCCTCCCGCGGCGCGAACGAACGAGTTCACGCGATCGTCGCTCGAGAATTTTGGCCCCTTCGCTCCCATCGGCTCTGGCAATGTAACAATCGTGCACACTTTGTGAGCTTCGGAGAGCTCGAAAAGTGGAAAAAGGGAGCAGATTCGTCGCTCGGCAACGGTGCTCCTCTCCGCATACGGAGATTTTCGTTTATTCAATGAGCAAAATGGAATTACGAGAACGGTCGATAGAAAGGACGAACTGCTGTGTGACTCGAGTACCTGAACGCTGGTACCGGGTGACCCTGCGCTTGGCACTGCATCGCGAATCCCGCAGAGGTTTTGGTCTTCTGCCATCGTTTTGCGTCACCGGTTACCGACGGCGCCTTGCTTTGCAACGGTTCTTCGTCGGATAAAAATGAAACGCGTGAAAAGAAAAAAGCGTTACTCGGCGTATCCGATAAACGCGATTTCGTAGAATGCAGGTTTCGCGTTGCGATTCGAAGTTTACCTGAACGTTGGAACAGGGTAGGCCTGCCCTTGGCAGAGTATCACGATGTGCGTACCGGTGTGCCTCTCCATGAGACTTCCCTTTTCCCCGAGAATCGACGGTGCTTTGCTACCGATGGGTTCTATCGAGGAAAGAAACGTGCCGGTCGTCAACTAACGCTCTTAGGTACGATTTACCTAAAGTTGGGTACAGGATATCCCTGTGCGGGGCACGTCAGCACCACGCTGGATCGCGTGCTGGTCTCTTTCCAACCGCGTTTCATTTCGCCGATCAACGCGGGAGCTTTGCTGCCAATGGGCTCTAACGAAACAAAGGTTACGCAGAATTTGCAAAATGCGAAACGACACGTATCGTGAGAGTGAGTTTTACCTAAAACTGGGCACGGGATAACCCTGCGCCGGGCAGAACAGAACGACCGTCGACACACAGGCCCTTTCTTTCCAGCCACCCTTCAAGTCACCTGTCAACGTTGGCGCTTTGCTCCCGACCGGCTCTATTCACACACAGCAATTTGAAAAGGTTCGCACAGCACGCAGGTGGAAGGTTAAAATTTCGACTAGCGAGTGTTTACCTAAAACTGGGCACGGGGAACCCCTGAGCCGGGCACGAGAGAACGCCGCTGGATTTTGCTCTCTTCTTCAGCCAACCACCCTTCAACTCGCTCGTAAACGCCGGAGCCTTCGTCCCGATCGGTTCTACGAATTTCACGTGAGCATGCGATCAGGATACTCCTGCGATCCGTGTCTCGCATTCGTATTAACATGTTAGTAACAGCCTTTGACCAAATCAAAGTACGAACGAAAACGACGAGTAGCACGCGAAGAACGGTGTATGGTTTAGTCACTACATTCAAGTGCAATGATTAGAAGGCGCGTAGGGAAGACGTTAGAGTACTACCACGTATACGTATCTCTATTTTCGTAAAAATTGTATTATATTGCAATTACCTAAATGAAGGCACGGGATAGCCCTGCGCTGGACAGAATATCACGACACTGGACTTCGCTCCGACTTGTAATATTATTCCTTTAACGATCCCCAGTAACGCCGGTGCTTTGCTCCCGACTGGTTCTAATTTTGCGCAAAAGAAGGAAACTGTCAGCTGCGTGACGCTTGCCAACCGGCGCGGCGATCATCGCGCAGTAATTTCTCCGATGGAACAGGGGACCCCTGATTAAAAGGAATTAGAGGATCGATACAGCGAGAGCCATCCGCGGAGAAAGTAACCGATGAAACTAATCCCGTCTGAAACTGAAACGCTTTCCCTTCACGGTCTTCGATCGAGCTTACCGCGATCGACTAACAAGCGGCTCGTTTCCTTTTCTTCTTTTTTCTTGTTTCGTTAATTACTGCTAGAGGCTTTACCTAAAGGAAGGGACGGGGTATCCCTGCGCGGGACACGGCAGCACGGCGCTGGTTCCTGCTCCTTTTTCCAGCCAAACGCCCTTCACGTCCCCCGTGAACGCCGGTGCTTTGCTCCCGACCGGTTCTAACAATGCACACGCGATGAGCGAGGCAGAATTAATTGTTCCACTTTGAATGTCGGAAAAGGGGAGCCCGATGCCGGACAAGTACGGGACGAGGGCAGACGAAAAGAAGGCCAAGGCAACATAATAGAAACAATTTGGACCGATAAGGGCTCTTCAGTTTTCAGCGATTGCCGAACAATGCTGAGCTGGCCCGGTGAAATCTACGCGAAGATTCTTCGCGTCTAAATGAACAACCCGCTTCGTCGAAACGTCACCGCGTACTCTCGTTGCGGTAGGTCGATCCACGTACGTGGGATACGGTTAGCGATACTTTAAGGAAGAGTGAGTTACCTAAATGATGGCACAGGGTACCCTTGCGCGGGACAGAAGAGCACGATACTGGTGTCAGCCTTTATCTCCATCCATCCGCCCTTTAATATGCCCGTGAACGCTGGCGCTTTGCTGCTAACTGGTTCTAACGAATTACACAAAGACACAGGGCCATGCTGTGAGCTCGACGCCCTTTGACTAACATCCAGCGATTAATTTAGGGGTTATACCTATAGGATGGAACTGGGAACCCCTGAGCGGGACAGAACAGAGTGAGATCTTCGCCGGTGACACGATCGTACCAGGACTTCTTCGCGTCACTCGAGAACTTTGGCTTCTTCGTGGCGACCGGCTCTGTCACAGGATTAGCAAAAGCAGGGCTGAAGACCGCCTTCGAACCAACCGGACTAACTGTTTTACCGAACTAACTGTATCGGGTTACCGAACACGATACTCGCGAGGAAACAAGGTTTGCACCTGACCGTCGACGCTTACTAGGACTTACGGAATCATCGTCCCGTGAACGAGCGCGAATCTTCTTTAAACTGCCGAGTATACGAGAGTCTGCTTGCTCTTCCTTTTCTCCGTGCTCTTCGCGGCACGATCAGAGATCACGGGACAACGATTCGGCCTGTGCAGCGCGATAGTCGATGCCATTGAATGGGTAATTCAGTACCTGGTTACGGGAACAGGATGCCCCTGGGCATTGCACGGCATGCTCACTTCCGAGCCCTCTTTACGAAGGAAGAAGAACGATTTAACGTCCCCCAGAAAAGCGGGTGCTTTGCTCCCCATCGGCTCTAAGCAAGGGAAATAACGAAGTCACGCGGAATGCCATTAAAATCTCTAGCCGCTGTGCCCGAGTCCCTCGGACAGGGTTCCCCTTTCTCGCGTCGACTATGTCGCCGACCATCCAACGTCTCCTGCGACCTTAGCAGAGAAAGAAGAGAAAAAGAAAGAGACACGCGTTCGTTCGATCCAAGTCACCCAGTTTCGTACCTATAGACAGGTGTAGGATGGCCCTGGGCATTGCACGGGAGACTAACGTCCATGTTTACCCGTCGTACCAACAGAGAGAGTTTCTGGTCTCCGGCAAAGGCTGGCGCCTTGCTCCCGACAGGCTCTAAACAATATTGACGCTCGATTATTCCGGCACACGCGACTCTCGTTTATCGATACCGAACAATGATAGAGTCTAGCCGAGCAACGGTAACCGATAACTAATTCAACTAGCCCGACGGTTTTTACGTTTTACGGCCGGAATTTAATCGATACATCGGGCCGCGTTGCATTCTTTACCTAGTGGTGGGCACAGGGCTTCCCTGCGCGGCGCAAAATATGGAGATGGGCAGACCCTCGGACCGCCTAATCGTACGGCTCAGATCGTCCGATGTCAACCGGGGCGACCTTGCTGCGACCGGCTCTGAAATCGATCGTATCACACGCGTTCGATCCAGACGATTCTTCGGATGACACGCGCCAAGGCGAAGGATTTACCTGGTTGTTGGCACTGGGAATCCCTGAGCGTTACACGCGAGCACCACGCTCGTGCCCTTGCGTCTCGCGTATTTACTCAGACTATCGTCGCTGGAGAAGATCGGCGACTTGAATCCGACCGGTTCTACGAAACACACGGATGGCGCTCTCGAGTCCTTGCTTACACGCCATTTCTTCGTTCTTTCTTTTCTCTTTTTCATCGACTCGTGTACGAACGTCGTCGAAACGGCAAGTTTTGCCGATTATTCGAGGCGATGCGATCGTGATAGATTACCTGGTAGTTGGCACGGGGAATCCCTGCGCGCTGCACGCGAGCACCACGCTCGAGCCCTGCCGCCTCGCGTACGCGCTAAGACTGAGATCGTTGGAGAAGATCGGCGACTTGAATCCGACCGGTTCTACGGAAAACACGGAAAGAATATTCCCGACGACCAGCGAGAAAGGAAATCGCGAGCTTGATCCGTTAAAGCTCGATGGTAAGTCAATAAAGATCGCGGGGCTGCACCGGTCGTGCCTTAAGGGTCGTAAACGCGTTAGACGAAGCGTGCATTATTTGCAAACGACACGCGAGATTACCTGGTGGTTGGCACGGGGAATCCCTGCGCGCTGCACGCGAGCACCACGCTCGTACCCTTGCGCCTCGCGTATTTACTAAGGCTATTGTCGGTGGAGAAAATGGGCGACTTGAATCCAACAGGTTCTGGGGAAAACATCGTGACACTCGGAATTACGTTTGGATAGAGAACGGACTCTGGATAGCGTCGACAGAGCCGCTGACAGAGTGAAATTAGAATTAACGAACAGGCCGCGGCGAAAGCCAAACGCGAGTCATTGGAAACCGACACCGCCGGGACCATTGGGAAATTGTATCGACCGCGGGTTCCCGCGACCATGTGTCCGCGATTAAATATCGTCTCACCTCGAAAGTGGAACAGGGTAACCTTGCACCGGACACATCAAACTCACTGCATCGCTGGATCTCCCTTCCATAAACTCGACTTTACGAATGTACGGTAGTTTTGGCTTTACGCTAGAGGTAGGCTCTGAGAATCATAGGAAAATCCATTATGCTCGAACTGTGTTACTGACCGTGTGATGGGAACAGGGAACCCTTGCGCAGGACATGTCATCGACACCGCGGTGGAGGTCGCCGTTGGTCTCACCACCTTTATGTCCGCGTTCGTGAACTTTGGTTTCGCGCTGGACACCGGTTCTGACCAAAAGATCGGTTAGCTGTACTCGATCGAGAACTAATGCTCCCTATGAACCCTGACGCTGGAACTGGGTATCCCTTCGGTTCGAGTGGGAGACAAATAGAAATCTACCCGAGGAACTCTCGCGTCCCAGTTTCACCGACATCCTAGGCCCTCTATGCAGGATACGAACACACGCCCGAGCCGACTCTGCGACGAGATGAAAGAGCAACTTTTTCGCGTACCTGAACACCGGAACGGGGAACGCCTGGGCCGGACAGGGTAAAGTCAAGGGTCGATCGCGTAGCACCGTATAGGTGGTGTAGGTGCGTGAATTCTCCGTCATCGGGAATTTCGGCTTCGTGCTGGCCACCGGTTCTACGAGAAGAAACCAATCACCGTCCGCTCGTGAGTCACTGGAGGACTGGGACAGGGCTGTGACAACGACCTCGCTAATTATCCCTGATAATTCACCGGCACATCCAGCCATTTCAACCGCGATAACATCGAATTCACGGAAAAGAACGAGCGAGCGAAAGGCGATATCGATTAAACTATTCACGTGACGGAAGAACCGCTC